CGTAGCACTAGTTAGCTGGATAACTAGCACGTTAGTTAGCTCGTTATTTAGTAGCGTAGCACTAGTTAGCTAGATAATTAGTAAACTAGACAGTTAATAGTGTTAACAATAGTTAGCTAGATATTAGTAGTAGGTATTTAGCTCTTTAGAAGTAATGGCAGATAATTACCTAGCTGGTTAATTAGTAGATGTTATTTAGCCAACTAGTTAGTTTTAATGAATCACTGATGTCATTTACTGAAATATGAATGCAGTTTCCATTTCACAAAGATCCAGATTAACGAGTTACCATAGTATAGATGAGAAATGTTCACTCAAAATTTTTCTATTTCGTTTCATAATTATGGAAGTTTTTGTTCATTAATTCCAAGAACCCATGATTGAAAGCAAATAAGAATATGTTATAATGTGTCAACCCCACTATTTCTGTAATGTCCAGTGACAAAGAGGCATTTCACCTAATATCAGGCGTCAATAGACTAGCTGGGATATGACAAAGTAGTGATCTAGACGCTAATTATACCTATTCCTATTTTAAAATTTAACAATTAGATAGCTAAAGAAATACAACCATGCAGTTTTCAATATCTTGTAGCCCAACTCAAACAGCTTTTATTGACACGTCAGTAGACTTCTACGTGTGCACCATTAGCGGCTCTCAGCACATCTAAGCGACATTCGATTTCAGTCCACGTTTACTGTAACATGCCCACAATCACAGTGGCGATGGCATCCGTTATCCTGGTCTTTAGCTATATGATGTTTGCTTATAGGTGTGCCATACACAATGTCCTTAACATACCCCTAAAGAAATAAGTTTAGTGGAGTGATGTCTGGCAATCAGGGAGGCCAAGGAATTGGCCCACCCTGACAAATCCATTGCATTAAGCCTTTTCTTGCGCGGTTGCCATTTTACGTGGTAACACTACTCACTGGAATGCAAAAAAAAAACAACATAAAACACGTCATTAAAAACTGTTTGAGTTAGGCTACAAAATGTTGAAACTGCATGGTTGTATTTCTTTAGTTATTTAATTATTAGATTTCAAAATAGGAAAGATAAGTTTGGACCACCCTGTATATATCATCAATTTTCGTGTAATGACCATCAAATTGTTTAGTGTATCTTGATAATTTACTTATATAAGAGAGTGTTAACAGATAACAGAGTATTTAGTCATTTGAGCTTGTTTTTTCTAACAATTATTCATGCTAGCATCAATCACACAATTCGACTCTAATTTCCAAGTCTTTCTTCTTAACTGTTACGTTTTGCTTTAAAAATGATGTTTCTTTAACCTTTAATTTCTAATTTCTTCTAGTTAAATAGAATAAACTTTAATTATATTTCTAGCCTAATTATTTTAATTCGAATCATCATTTTGTGGCAAATATGAAAAACATAACTCGTATTCTTTAAATAGTTAAATTGTTACATAAAGTTACGATATATCACTACATATCTAAATCCACTGAAAATCTGTTTAATCACAGAATTTTAAAGTTTTGTTTATTGGTTTTGTTCTTAAGCTCTCAGCTGCACAGCGTTATACGGCCTTAAGCTAACCGCTGAGCCACGAGGGAGAGAATTTGAAAGTAAATTATAAAAGATCGAAGAATTTGGTATTACGAAGTGAGAGTGAATTACCAAACAGGTTAAAATCAAATTAGGACGACTAGAAATATGTTATTTTTTACCCCAAGCTAATACAGCATTCGTTGTTTCATTAGATTGGTTCGGCATCCTCTAATAATAATAATATATCATTATAATCTGGGAAATACAACCGTAATAACCAATCAGGGACAATCTCGTAATAACAGTTGTTTGAAATATAACCATTACGACCAATTAGTGCCTATCTCGTAATACCATACTGTTTTTATTTCACGACGAAAATTAAAAATTCAAACTGAATATAACAATTTTATTATAATATATTTTCTGCCATGAATTTAACCTGTGCTTCTGTTTCAGATAAGTCACACAAGGGCTATCAACACTAGAGATTCCTAATTTTCAGCTGATAGACTAAACGGAAGGCAAATAATCAACAGCACGCACCGCCAACTCTTGGGCTAATTTAATAAAATATTGAGATTTGACTGTTCCTCTTGTAACGCAACAACGACCCTAAAATCATGAGCACGATCTTTTCTTGGGCCAGCGGGGCACGAACCATGGACTTTCAGACTCACAATCCGGCTCACTAACAACTCGGCCACGTCCGATCCGTGTATCTTCCTTTTGTTAATTTTAAAACAATATTTCAAAATTCGAAACGAAAATATTTCACGTTTTACAACATCGTTGATTTAGTAGACTATGTACATTAAGTTAAAGAATCCAAACATCGGGAACTCTGGCATAAACTACAAATCAATACACTTCTTAAACATCTTAATGTGAAGAGAAATCATTATACAAGCTCTATTGTCAACCAAGCAAATTTTAAAAACTTTCATATCCGAGAAGAAGACCAGTAAAATTTGTAAGATAAAAAAACAAATATTTAGGCAATCAGAAGTTTAAAGCATTACAGCATTGATATATCAGCGATATATAATAAGCCACAATAAGGAGGAAGTTGGCATGGTGCAAACTACTATTGTTTCATGTGCACATTTGAAAATTATAACGCGTTAGTAATATCCATTTGTGGTACAAAGTATCAGCCCCTAATAATACTAGGATTGGAATACAACCATTTTCCTGTCAGTAGTTCAGAATACTGTCAAGGTATCGTAACTGACAGATTAAATTGTCTTAACTTCAAGATCCCACTTAACTTCAACGACAAAGTATTGAAATTTATATAGTTCATCAACTTAACCCCTATCAGTTATTTAGAATATATCTTTACTTCGGCGACAAAGCATTGAAACTTACAGAGTTCATCAACTTAACTTTATCAGTTCTTCAAGATATCTCTTAACTTCAACAACAAAGTATTGACATTTATACAGTTCATCAACTTAACCCCTATCAGTTATTTAGGATATATCTTTACTTCGGCGACAAAGCATTGAAACTTACAGAGTTCATCAACTTAACTTTATCAGTTCTTCAAGATATTTCTTAACTTCGGCGAACAAAGTATTGAAATTTACACAGTTCACTAACATAATCTTATCAGTTCTTTGGAATATCTCTTAACTCCAGAGAAAAAGTATTGAAACTTAAACAGCACACTAACATTGCCCTATCAATTCTTTGGGATATCTCTTTACTTTCGTTAGAAGTGCCAGAATTTTGTACCTTACACAGCACAATAAAACTGTACTGTCGGTTCTTTAGGATGCCCCTCATACCTTCCCTTAGAAGATCCAAGGTATTGAAAGATGCACAGTATAATTCAAGG